GGGGCTTGTATTACAGTGTGAATGACTTTGGGTCTCTCCTGCTCTCCATGTGCCTGGTTTGAATGCCCTGTGCTATTCCTCACCTGTCCCCACCACTCCCTGAGCTGCAAACCAGAGGTCACGGGTGGGCTGAGCTTCTTCTCTGTCGGATGCACCTGGTCTCTGCCATGTTGAGCAGCATCACGGAGGAGACCCCGACATGAGACAGGGGAGTGAAGCTGTCATAGACCCGTCCTGGGAAAGAGCAAGGGAAGAGAGACACGGAGCCAGCCAAGAGCCAGTGGAGCTCTGCAGCGGGGGACGAGGGGCTGCACGGCCACTGGAGAATGGGGCAGAAGGGCTGTGGTTTCCTCCTCAACAAGTTCAAGGCCAACTTCCACGGGTTTGGAGAGAGGAGGCCAGGCCGTTGGCCAATGAAGGGGGATTAAATCAAGGGCGAGTACCCAAGTGCTGAGCTGGGGAGCATGCATTTCCAGCCAGAAGCAAGCCTGGGTGCACCAGCGGTGATGGCGCCTCTACTGGGAGGCAGTAGGGAAGAGGAGGTCTCTTGTGCTAACGTCCCCTGGTGTGCTAAGGGAGCTGGTGAACGAACCGCCACTAATTACGGACTGCGGTGCTGAAAGCCATGGGTGCAGTCGTGTGTGAACCTGCAACCTTGCCCTAGCGTGGGGACCGGCTCCGTCGTCTGTGGCTGCATGCAGCAATCCCAAGGTCTGGCTCTTGCATGGCATCACGCCGCCTGCCCTGCTAGTCCATCACGTCGCGGCTCACTGCATGCAGGGGGATGCATGCACACCCCTGGCAGCTGAACTTCCCCGGCACCCCTGGACCATGGTACGGGCATTAGGCATCCTCCTCCTGAGCTGGGCCCTTGGGTGAGCTGTGAGGAGGAGGCTGCACTGCGCTTGACATCCTCTCTGCTGCGAGGGGAGAGACTCCTTCCTCCCTGCCAGCCATGCCACCCCCAGCCTGGCCTTTGCTTATGGAAAGACCAGGGCACAGCAAGAAGGACAGTGTTTCCTCAGTGCAGGTGAGCCTCCCCCGATATGGGTGACTGGACCCGTGGTACCCGACCAGGCAGCTCTGTGCCATCCCCCTGCGTTCGCTAAGCCCGCTTCCAGCACGGCTGCTAGCAGTAGCACCGCGATGCTGCCCAGAGGGCGCAGCAATTAGGCACCGTTTGCACCTGTTGCAAACAGACAGCCTCTGCCCTCATTGCTTATAGCCTGATCCAGCGCACACCTAGCCGCAGTCATGCCAGTCGGATCAGGGCTGATGTGCACGACGAGAGGCAGCAGACAGAGGCAATGAATAGGTGCTGCATGACAAGCAGTGCCCGCAGCAGCGCAGTCAAGAGGGGGTTAAGTCAATCCCGAACTCCCGGTGTCAGGATTTGGGTTGCTCAATGCATGCAGAGAAATCAGAGGTATCTGCAGGCTCCCCCAGACAGCTCTGGAGGGCCAGGCAAGGCAGCGGGGGCAGACAGGGAGGCTCTTTCTGGTTCTGGCTGCTACCGCAGAGCAAAGCCCTTCCTTGCACAGCCTGCAAGCCGATCTGCCAATCTTGTCGACATTGGTCTGGTCTCTGATTATCCGTCCAAGGCCGGCTGATGTTTATGCAATTAGCTGCAATGAGATGATGATTTACTGCTTAGGGTGGATGAGAGAATGCAGCAAGCAGCTCAATTTTCCTTCTCCTCCCAGGGGGGATCTCCAGCACCTGCAGCTTCAGGCGGCTGCGCGCAGGGGGCTCAGGGAGCTGGCGTGGCCTCGCCATGGTCTTCTGCCTGCATGCAGATGTGCTCAGGGATCGTGCACAGCTGGCAGCAGTGGAGAAGTGGGGGTGTGGGTACGAGGGGCCCTGAGAGCAGGCGGGTTCCTGGGCCTGACCCCTGCACCGGTGCCAGTATGAGGGGCTAGCTAGGGCTGGACAACCTCTGTCCTCAGAGCTACCTGGAAGCCCTGACCAGAAAATGCAAGTGTTTCCTAAACTATTGCACTACCACTATGCAGCAGAGCAAGGCCAGAGTCTCTTCCCCCCTCTCCTAGAGGATTTAGGGGCTTGGGATGTCCCTCAGTCTGTGGTGCAGGGTTTCTGGCTGCAGAGCGCCAAACCTGGCAGCTGGAACGGGACTGTCCTCAGCGGGGGCAGGTGACAGGACAAGGAGCCATGGGCTCCAGTTGCAGCAAGGTTGAATATTAGGAAAAACGAGGAAGATGGTGAAGCACTGGAATAGAGAGGTGGTGGGCTCTCCATCCTTGGAGGTTTTGCAGACCCAGTAGACAAAGCCTTGTCTGGGATGATGTAGTTGGGGCTGGTCCTGCTTGGAGCAGGGGTTGGACTAGATGTGACCTCCTGACATCCCTTCCACCCTCATTTTTTATTATTATAAGTGCCAGAGACAGTGCTGGGGCTCTGGACCCAGTCCCTGGGAGATCCTGTTCTCTTCCTGTGCCTCTGACTTGCTGGGCAACCTCCAGCGAAGAATGAATGGACTCGATAAATGGAAGAGCGCGGCATTAAAGGAAAGGGAAGAATCCGAGGCTGGCAGCATAATTAGTGTCATTCCACGTGGGTTGATGAAAAATAGATCTTGTCAAACAAATCGGATGTAGCTGTTGCTGACAGCACAAGCTGGGTGGATAGAGGTAACTGTATTGACACCACAGGCGGAGATTGCTGTCTCGCAGACAGATGTCAGGCAGCAACGGTAAGCGAGGGATTGAGATGGTACGAGCGGGGTACCACCGGGATGAGGTCTTGGCTCCCCACCTCTTTACCAAAATATGAACTCGTTTCTGGTCACGTTTGCAGGTGACACCGATCGGTGACGCGAGGAGGGTGGGTCATGTGTGCAGGGCGCCTGGGATGGCACGGGGCAAGGTGGTCTTTGCTGCAGCTAGGCACAAGGTCATGTACGGAGAGCGCAGCTCACATTTGCAAGGTGGGGATGGGGCGGCTTTGGAGGGCAGCGGTTGGCACTAGCAGAGAGAGGGGATGAAAGCCTTGAATGCCTTTTGCAGGGAAACGCCGAGGCAAGAGAGAGATGATCGCCATCAAACCGAGATGGCAAAACTTGCTCAGGGAGAGGCAGGCTCCCCCCTCTCGCCCCAGCCGGCGACACGGCAGGGGAACCCAGCAGCGGCTTTGTACTGGCCAAGGGATTTCAGACCCGTTTGCCAGCAAGAGCATGTGTGGGTCCCGGAGATGGGAGAGTTGGCCTGGCTCCATTCACGAGGACCGCGTGTTTATGTGGCCAAGAGGCAGAGCCGGCCCCTTCCTTCCTGTGCTACCTGCTCGTTATTTATTTTGGGCTCCGTCTGAGTGACTCTCTCCCACGCGGCAGCTGATTTCCAAGTAGACAAATAAGCCCAGCTTTGTAGCTCTCCCACGCCGCCACCGCGCAATCAGTCCCTCTCCCGTTGGGGAAGCGGAGGAGGGAGGGAGCGAGAGGCGCTGACGTGTGTGCGGGCAGGTAGACGCGGCCGCAGTCCCCCGGGAATCGGGTGACCCCTCGGCATGGGCAGGGGCGCGGGGTGTCGTGCCAATGAAGTCCAACCACGCCCAGAAGAGCCCAGGCGAGGACCAGCGTCCTGGAGAAACTTTCCTGTGCCAGGTGCACT